TGTCTGAAGACACTGAACTAGGAATAACAGAAAATAATGAGGTAAAACCAATAAATTGATTTGAGCAGCAACAAGGCTTGGTAATACTAAGGAAAACTACCTCCTCAGGATTACAGGCAAAAGAGGACCTAGAAATATACTGCCATTCTTTGTTTTTACTAAGATAGAGTGTATATCATGACTATGAAATGCTGAGACTGAAGCTCACTAACTGTACAATTAATTTCCACAATCTGCCGCCAAAATGCCCTTCTGTGCAAGTCCGTGCTCCAAGCTGAGCTTCACGCTCTGCCCCCATATTTTGTCTTTAGCCTTTTTGTTCAGAAGGTGCCAATTACTGAGAAGTCTGGCAATGGTTTTGCTGAGGACTGCATCTATGCACTGACAATTGAACTTGGCTCTCCAAAGAAAATCCACACAGGCTGTCCAAGCCCAAGCTCAGAGCCAGGGCTGCCCTGCATCCCATGCCCTTCTGCTGCTCTGCAGGGCTGCCACAGCTTGCGACCACACTTGGACCAAGTTTGCTGCTAAACTAACAATTCTGCCTTGTTTCATGATGCTGTAAGGCTGCTATACAGTGCGTTGCAGAATAAATTTGGAGCTCTTCATTCCATCTGGTACTCTGCCACAAGCCCCCAGAGCCTGCTCTGCACCATACCCCCTCCACAGGAGCTGGCTCCCTCCAAAAAAGATGGTTTTCTGCATTTCAATTCTAGTAAAAAACCAAACACAAATGGGGGAAGGGAATCCTAACATTTTGTGGTTTAGTTGGTATTTGAGAAATGCCAATCTGATACCAAAATTGTGATAATTTTGTCTTGTGTTTAATTACTATTTATGTGATGTTTCCCTAATTCAGCCCTTCCAGTTACTCAGAGACAGGAAACTATGTAGTGTCTCCTGGCTACACATTATAAAACTTGCATGCTGGTTTATTTCTGCTTGAATCATCTTCTAAGATGTTTCATACTCCTCCCTCTGAAGAGTCCTTCACTTGGAAACCAAAATACTTGGAAGTGGTGTTGCATGGCTACACAGTTCCTCATCCTTCAGTCCCTCTATAGGGCAGATGAAAAGGAAATGGCAGCAGCCACAGCTCTGGTGTTTTCTGCCCTCTGATTCCCTTATCTCCACACCATGCTGTTATCTTTAGGATTACACGTAAGATTTTCAACATTTCTTCTTTCTCTCCCATTCCAGCTTACTGATCTAAATCATGCTTTAGCTTACTGGTATAGGTCTGCTTTTTTATTTACTCTTTTATGTACCTTTAAATTGCAGTTTTTAAAAATGGCTTAGTAATAGTTCCACAATAAAATTGTGTTTAGACTTGTGTTTAGACTTCCTTGTTCCAATGAACTGTACAGAGGTTGTAATAAAAATGCCTGTGCAACACTCTTGTATGCACACTCATATACATATGCATGGCCTTCCAGTACACTAATCCTGCAACTATCCTCAGGTAACAACCAGCTGCCTCAAGCCTGTGCCAACCATGCAACAATGACAAAATCTCAGTGAGAGACAGAGCCAATACTGCTGCCACGCCATTCCCTACACTGTCCCACACTTCACCGAGGATGCTGGCAGTGGGGTTGGGATGCTCGAGCTGCAGGATGCTCGGTTCGCGTTGCCACCTTGCAGCCCAACGCAAAAGTATGCCTGACAACACTGGTGCCTGGGCCTGAAAGCATCCTTTCTCCTTTCTTTTTAAGCATGAGGCGCCATCCCACAAAAGCAGGCACTCCTGCCTTCAAAAGGTTTCTGTTCATGTGCCGTGGCCTGCCCTGAATCAGCTGCATTCATCAGCTAACCCTCTGTCTCAGGCTGCTCCTCTCTGGCCGCAGATTTGGCGAAACACTGAGCAGGAGCCAGATATAAATCTCCTGCTCAAAAGAAATATTTAGCAGCAAAATGAGTAGAAAACAAAAAGACTTCTCTGTTACTTACCCAATCCTCTCACTCAGGGTGGCTCTATCTAACAAGCAGGGAACTGAGCCCTCCTGCCTGGAACGGCAGTGCCAGAGGGATGGGGAGTGGGACTGCCCCATGCCTCGGGAACCCGCTGGTGCACCCAAATGGCCTCAGGCACTGGCTGCGAAATGCAGAGCTTTGTCCATCAAGTCCACAGCTTGGTAAGCGTGAGAGCCTGCTTAGGGCAGTGAGAGAAAAACCTGGAGTGTTTCCTGTTAATTCTGAAAAGGGAAAGCTCAAGAGAAGTTAACACAATTTTGCGTACGTATTAAAAGCTGAGGAACATTAATCCACAGCTTATCGGTGTTCTGCTCTTATTTCCCACTGTGCAAATTGTTCTGCAACATAAGATGTAGGATGCAGATCAACTTCTGCCCTCTTTTTATTGTAATTTTCATTGTATAATTCAGTGTGGAGAGGCCAAGTCTCCACATGAATTCATTGAGATGACTGCGCTCCAGCTCTCTGACACAGAAACGTAACAGGTTTCTATTGCAAAATAATTACCACAGAGATAGATAGCCATTTCATAAGCAATAGCAAAAGAGAAAGACAGCTAAGCCATTTTACTAGAACTCAGGGAAGTCCTTTTGGAAAGGAAAAGGTGTAGAACAGGGTATGTATGAGCATCTGCCTGAGATACTAGAATCAGTAACGCTCTGACAGGGGCTTTCGCCATAAAGGATGGCTGCCCACTCCCAGCCTGTAACTCATCAGACTGGCTGTTTCACCAGCCCAGCTAATTTGCCACTGACTGGGAGATGGAGCAGCAACTTTTCATGTGGTCGCTGAAGCTCCTGCCAATAGTACCCAGAAACACAACCAGTGCCTGCAAGGGACAGAGGAATAGCAACCTGGACATACCCCTCCCTGCTAAGCACCCTGCCTGCCCTGCAGCGAGCACCTGAACCAGTATGAGGGGTTGGCTTGGAATCACTCGCTGCAGAAACATCATCACGTTTTGTTAATCCAGCACAGCAAAGAAAAGAAATACATGACCTGCAGGAAGCAGAAAGAGATGCAATGCACGTGTCTTTATGTCACTGCTTGAATCCTCACCCAAATCCCGCCACTCCTGTGCTCATTCAGTATATTGCAAAATAAAGGACTAGTAAGTATTACTCACACAATTGAAAATTTATCTTTTACAATAACATTAGTTTATCTCTGTATGACCAATAATTCAACTTTTGTATTTGTTCAACTTTTATCTAAAGCACAAGCCTCCGTGTTTTCCTTTAATTTGTTTTCAAACTTTGAGTTTTTGGTGCAATTACTACCTTGAAACCTACATTGGTAATGCTCAACATTTTTCAAAAATACTGCTGTTTGAATTTTACTCATGTATCAAAGAAATATTACACAAAAATATTTTCTTGCTTCATCTCTACAGTTTCTGAAAAACTGCTTCTTGTGGACTTGAATACAAATGTACTGGAGAAACCAAAACTACATGAATAAAGGAGACCTCAAATGGCCACTGTGATCTGTAACAGTCTATATACACATTATATACATATGACTGTTTGAGAACCTCTATTCATGAATGTGCACAGACTACATACTGCACACATTACTTTGTCTGAGGGTGTTTTTTTTAATTTTGTTTTAAACTACTGTCAAAAACAGGATTTACCCCATGGTGGCACAGAAAAACGTGGTAAATGGATTTAGTGTTACCATCCTAGTGCCACCGCTCATTAACAGAGAAGTGATGTTGCAAATCAGTTAACACAATAATTTCTACCTTTTTTTCTTATTGCATTTGCACATGTAACAAATTGGTACAAATGTTTCCAATAAAATGTAAAGTTCATTGATACAATGCCTTTCATGATGGCCATAACTGGTTACTAGTCAACTCTGTAGTTTTGTAGACATTTTTAGTTGAACTTGGAAAAATAGGAAACATATTGTAGTTTAAAATAAATGTACATAATATACAATATATATATTTATACACGTGTATGTCTACATACACATATATTGATAAAACATTTAAAGTAATGTTTAGTTTTGATCAGTTCTCTGAGTGCTGGGACTACCTGGCAAATAAATCTAGGAATTTGTCCACAATTAAATAATAATTTCCACAACTTAGAAAAATATACTTTTACTAAATAAGGTTTAAATTAACTGATTTATGGATATAGGATGGAGGATAATGGTTTCCAGACTCTGACGTGATTAAATCTGAAAGAACCCAAGGTACTACAGACCGGTAATGAACGCTGCCCTGCAGCCAAACACAGAAGAGCACAGAAATACAAGCTGCTGCCGCAGCCATCATCAGTGGCACCCCAAACCTCCCTGGTCATCTCTTACAAAGGCTTCATTTTCACCCAACTTGAGTCACCCACCCGACCTCACGCTCTGTTATTTAACCCACTTCAGCCACAGCCACACAGTGCCCGCTGCCGGCTCCGTGCACAGCACTGGAGGACTGGTGTGAGCAACTCACAGCTCCCATGTAGTGCTTGCCTTGAGAGCAAATATATAAACAAAGTCCCTAATTATCAGCTTACTTGGAGGACCACCAGTACTTGAGCCTCACCATACAGATTTTGACCTACTGCATAGGTAAATATATTATAGCAAAACATACATATGAGTGTGTGTGCATGTGTATATAAGAATATATACATATACACACGGTGAGTATGTGTATCTCTATATAAAAAATTTCATGGAACTATGTGTAGTAACGTGATATACCATGGTATCCTGCATATGTTATCTGGTTTTTGTTTGTTTGTTTGTTTGTTTGTTTGTTTTTTTAATACAGAGGCACCAGAAATAAGTATATAGAGCAAATCAACCTTTAAAAATTAAAGTTAGATCAGTGGACAAGAACTTTGGTAAAGCTTATCAATATTTATTTTTGTTTTATTTAAATACAGTTGTAGTCTATCAGTTGCCATCACCCTCTTCAGAAGAGGAAAGTGCATGCTTTTTTTCCCTAAAGAAAATTTTATATATAGGGTGGGGCTTAATGATTCTAGAAAATTCTGAATTAAATGTTTATATTTTTCAAAAGATTACTATCTTTTTACTGGAATGGAAGCTAAATAGAGTTCTTGTCCTGTGTGTATTTTATCATATACATACATACATATATAAATATATATGCATGTATGTCTCTATGTACCTGTGTTTATATATACATCCACACACTTTTAACATGAGAGAGGAACCTGTTTTTCTCCACTTTGTATGTGGAGACTTACATTTTCCTCTCTGTCTTTTACCCTGTGCAGTATAAGCTCTTAGTGACGAGGCCAAACAAAAAGATATAGTTCACCATAGTATATTAGTTTATGTAGCAAAGTCATTTTCAAGCAAGTAAAATAAAGCTCTGTATTCCAACTTCTTTTCCTTTACATTTCTCATGAAGAAAAGGAAGGAAAAGGACAGAGGGGAGGGAGAAGGATTATGGCAGTAGCATGAGCCAGTGGCACGTGCCAGTGTGCACGTGTGAGCGTGCAAGTGCATGCCCACACACACACACACACAAGCACAAAAAGCAGGGCTTTGGTTGACAAATGCAGATTGTCCAGAGAAGGAAGATGCATAAGTAAGGAAGACTCTACAGTGATGCAATTGTACCTTTTATGTTTGCATGGAGTGAGAAAACAAATTCAATTGGAAAAAAAAAAATAAAGAAGCAAAGACCTCTTTTTAGGTCCCTCATCAGTGAGAGCATACTCAGTATGCTAGAGAATTTATCTGAAACCTTTTAAATCAAGGCCTCTTTATTACAAAAATAAAAACGAACAAACAAAAAAGTATGAGAGACGACAAGATGCTGAAGTGTCACTCCAATCGTCCCTGCAGAGAACAATTGCATCCCATTTATTATTCATTCTCTTCTCTCATTTCCACGATGTCTGTCATTTCCTCTGTGTGAGGCATGTCGGTCATTGCAGAGTCTTCACCTTCTACAGCTGTCTCATTCTCATTCCTCTTCTTTTTCTAGATTGAAACAAGCATTCAGAGACCTGTCAGTAAGTTGTAGCATGAACATCCTCTTAGAAACTTTCTGCACCTGGAAGTAGTGATGTGGGAACCTGGCTTGTTTAGAATATTTTAGTAAAAACTAGAATATTTGTGTCATATTTGTGGCTTCTGACTAATAACTTGGATTAACTTAGAAGATTTCCATAACCTTTCTGGGGCTCAGCTTTCTCCTTTCTAACATAAATGCAATCATAGAGGCATTTCTTATGCTAAGCAACATCCAAGACAGGCTTCAGCCATGACTGGAGGGAATAGAGCATCTGGAATCTTTTACATCACAGACTTTTTATGAAAAAAACAAAACAAAACAAAAACAAAAACAAAACAAAAAAAACAACCAACACCCAAAACAAAACAAAATAAAATATGAGAGAACAAAAGCTGCTCTAGGGAATGAAACAGAGGTGGCAACCTAATTTCTCAAATGTCGAACTTCAGGCATTTTACAAGATATGAACATTCTGGCTTTTCTCGGTACTGCTGATCCAGTGTGATCCCCCACCCAGCCAAGGCCAAGAAATATCATAGTATTTTTGGCTAGAAGGAGCAGGAGGTCATTCAAGAGTCCTATGATTCATCCAGGATGTCCTGGATAAGTAAAGCTAAGAAGCATTCAACCCCCTAAAAAACAAGTTGAAGCATCTGTTCCTTATTACCCGTTTCTCAGCAGGCTGACTAGTTTTACAGAAAACAATTGGACAGCTGACAAAATATCCCCCACAGGTATTACTGTTTCAGCTGAACTGGGCATATCAGAGTTTCAAAATTTTAGAGGTGTCTACAAAACTCTTGATTTGCAGCTCTCAAACTGTAGGTGAAAGTAACTTGGTGCATAGAGCTACTGGTTGGCTCTGCCACTGTCACACCGAATAAAGAATAAATTAGGTTGGCACAGTTATTACTACTACTACCTGCACTCACCACTGCAAAAAATGAAGCACCTTGTCAAAAACACTCTATGAGCTATGATTGTAACAAACAAGCAATGAGGATATTAGTCCAGTGTTGTGAAACAGGCCAAGAACAGGCCATTTCAGAGTCTACAGATTTTACTCTTTGGTTCTGAAGAAAAACATGACAACTAACCACGATATAGAGATCACGATTCTTCAACTGTCTTATGAACCTTACACACTTTGATCTGTTGCCATGGCCTGCATTGTTAATACATATCAAAACTGATTTTAGGTTGTTCCAATATAAGGCTTTCAGAAATTCCATCTTCTGTACTTTTTTCCAAAAATAGAAGTGGTGGGTATCTCTCCTTGACACTTCATAAGATGTCTAATTGAAAAAAAAACTGTCACTGCATAGATTACGTTTTCTGCTTCCACCCACAGAGGTGTACTATGGAATGATGTACACAACCATGCTGTTTCTGCACAGAGTCAGACCTGGTGCCCTACACAGTGCTTTGAATACGTAACTGGAAGGACACAACATGGAGGCATTGTGATGTACCCAGTCACCCAGACAATATTTATCCTGTCTTTGAACTTAATTTAGTGGAATATTCTTTGAAATCCCTGTATCACTACTACTGTGTACATGCAGGGTTGTAGTATGTGAAATATATAAAAATATGCATACAAGAAAACCTCCCCTGTTTAATTATTTATAAGCTGTTATTATCAACTGCTGCAGGAGTGTATCTTGTTTTAAGCCAGTCCTCTAGATGGCAAAAATATATAAGCAACTGTACTTTTTGTCCATTTTCAGCAGAGTTGGTTTTATAATGAAATAGAAGTATACATAGAGATATATATGTATACACTACCTAACACATCCCATGGCAGGGGACTTAAAACTAGTTGGAACTTTAGGATCCCTTCCAACACAAAGTATTATATCATTCTGTGATTCTATGATTCAATATACATATACCTACATATATAATAAATTTGGATGAGTAGTTTCCATGTCTACATAAAAATGTTATGTTGTACTGTAGTAGTAGATATACAGTGCAAAATAGGTGGTGGTAAGGACAGGCTATCCATGATACATGTGTTTTGAGGAACAAGAGGATCACTTCAGAACAGCATGTTCCATGGCCTGAATCCTCACTAGCAGTTTGGAGGGCACCTTTTGGTTTTAGTTCAACCCAAAGAATTTCCAGGTTGCACACTCCTGAGATCAAACAGGGAAGCAAACCAAATTCAGTAACTGGGGATGCTGAGGAGTTACACTTCAAAAGTGTACTCTTAATCTGAACTCAAATCAATTGTATTCATCAACTGCTTTCACCAGATCCTGTAGAGCCAAATTCTTACCTGCTTACGATAGACGTAACAGGCTGCTATTGCAACCATGGTGGATTCTCCTACAAAACCAGCTAGAAGGGATCCTACTCCAAGAGTGGCTCCATGAACTCTGTAGATGGCATAAAAAGAAAGCAGTCATGGTGGTGTGAGAATACATGATTTGTAATTACATTTTTACTGGCACATAGAACCAGTCTCTTGTTAGAAATATTTTCTTCAAAGACATAATATACATTGGCAAAGAGAATAACCAGCATTTTAAAGGACTTGTCTGTTCCTTAATGGCTACACTGTTTAGTACCAGAAGCACGCTGAATCAAACTATGGACTAAGAATTTGAAGTCTTGTACAGTGTGCTGTAGAATAGATTATTTAACTTACAAACAAGATATTCTTCCATTAGTTTTCTTAACAATGCATTTAATGAAATGGAAATAAATTCTCCTTAGGATACGTTTTTGCCTCTGACATTTGTGTATTTTTTTCAAATGGGACATCAGTACTGTGCCTGCCCAGAGCAGTCACACTCATAAATTTTTAAATCTTTCTTTTTCAGATATTGACACTTATTTGGGAAAAAAGGTCTGACTGTGCAAATTCAGATATAAAGTGACAGGAAACAGGAACGAAGAGGAAAACAGACCCATCAGTTTTGTGAAGAATAACGATTTACCCTAAGTAAGGCAGCACGATGAGACTAGTGATGAGGACGATAATCCGCAGCACTGAGCTGGGTGCCAACACAAATGTCTTCTTCAGAGTCATCAGCCAACCAGTCAAGTGTGCTCTTACAGTCACTGTTCATCAACAGGGAAAGGGGAGGGGATGGGGAGAAAAGGAGGCAAGAGTAGTAAAAAAAAAAAAAAAAGTCAGTCATTTCATTTGCACCTCTTTCATGCAGAGAGAATGAAAATTCAATTCAGAAACAACCACTGTGAAACTTGTTGCTGGTAACTTTGCACCCTGGGAAACCCCATTAGAAAGGAAGTAGATCTTATATCCAAATTGTTTTAATATAGTGATTTGGGGAAAACAAAGAAACAAACAAAAAAGCCAGTTATGGACAGCAATCCTTCCTAAGAGCTAATCTCTTACAACCAATTTATTAGACGGTCCATTCTGTTTTCCTCATTTAAAAAAAAACTATCCCCTTCCCTAAAGAGAAGTCATACCAAGGAAAATTTTTCATCTGCTGTGGTACATGGTGTAACAGTCAGGCACAAAAAAAGATATCTACATGTACCTGTTCTTATATTTGTAGCTTACCTTTATTACAAAACTGGCTTGTCATATAAGCAGAAAACACCACATGATGTCACATTTAATTACAGAGCTGGAAATTTTTTGAGGAGAAACATTTTGATTATTGCTGTCAAGCTTGTCTTGCTCTTTGATAAGAGTATCAACTTTTATTATATATTGTTTATGCTCTGTGTCTGAAAAAGCCACTGAGTCTGTCAGCAGAAGTGGAGACTAATGGAGATGATGTTAATCTGGAGGTGGTCCTAGATGCTATTCCAAACAGTTACTCTCAGCCTTGGCTCACATGTATCTCTACTGCCATTCACATATTTGTTCCCGGCCAATGACAATAGAAAGAATTCAAGCTTTACTTTTGACAGTCAAAAATCTGCCGAATGATTGACACTCTTACTGCAAGATTTGTACCTTGGCTACTGATGTAAATACCCTAGGTCTCTATCAGCTTCAATACAAACAGTTACAATACTTATGCTAGGCATGCATTTAGCCACACTTGTATGTACAGCCACGCCAGATCCTATAACCATGCTTCACTGTCGGTTTGGGTTTGAGGTTACAGAGTTTTCCTTTTTCTTTTTTTTTTTTTTTTTACCTGGAACTGGAAAGAAGGAGAAGATGCGCAAAGGAATGACACACAGCTCTGCAAAAGCGAAGTCTACTCCAATTATGTCAACTAAAATCTTCTCTGATACATTCGGCGTCCAAAACATCACAAAACAGAGCTAGGAAAAACAAAATTAGGAAATGTTTATGTTTCAGATGGGAAGCACAACAAAAGATAGTCCCTGCTGGACTAACTTACTGATGAGTAGATAACTCTACTAATGATAAATATACTGTATATGTATAATTAGATTGCATTCAAATACAGATATACCCAAGAGAGAGACGTTAACTTCAGAAGCAATTCCTACCCTTCATGTTCCTCACACACCAAGACTGATGCATATAGAAAGAATTTTTGTGATTCCTGCAAAGTTGTACTTGAATGCTCTAATTGTTACAAAAAAAGTAAGAAACTTGATTTTTACAACACTTGCTCTGGTTAAGACACTCATATTCCTAAACAGATTATCAAATGTTTTAGTGACTAAAGATTTGAAGTCCTGAAAGACCAGAGATCTGATCTAAATCTAAGACTAGGCAAAGGTGTTAGCACAGTCCTGCAGACACAGTGCCCTCAGGCCACAAATCCACAAAGTCTTATTATTTTCGTTGAAGATCATGCTGTTTAGTCCACATATGAAAGAAAAACTTCCATGAAAAACCCATAACAAATGGTACAGTGGTAGTACATACTGTTTAATTTTTTGGTCAGTACTGAGGCAGGGCTTTTAGCTGAGCTGAGGAGGCTGTTGGCAGCTGGCAGGTCTGGTTTCAGTTCACTCACTGAAGAACAGTGTTGACAGCCCTCACAGAACTTTCCCTGTAAGAAGGGGTACCTGGCATCCCTTCAAATATAACTACTTTGTTATTTAATTTGGTTTTCTGATTTTAAAATTATTTCTTCCTGTTATTCTTGCAGTAAAGTGGATGCTAAGGAAGTGAGCTGACTGAATGGTGCAAAACTTGGGACCTTAAATGCTCTGGCATTCCCCTCGTCAAGGTACAAACCAGTGTACCAGATAAAATAAACACACTGGCTGTACAATACAGTCTGCAAAACTGTAACCACTTTTATAATTTAGCCTACAAGCTCGTATCCTAGTATCTAGCTCTTCTCTTTTTATCCAGTTGTCACACTCCCACGTGTTCAGATGGCTTTTAAACCTAGTCTTTGAAGTCCTACCACCTCCAAGACAGCTGGGATTTCACTCTCATTCTTTGGTTGTGTGCCAGAAACTGTCCTTTCTGTTCAGCCTACAAGCACCCAGATCGCATTAGTTTCCCAAAGCCTGTCACTGAGTGACCTGTGGGAGGTCTTGCATTCCAACAGCTTGCGTGGTGAACAAAACATTTCACCTTCCTGTAAAAAAGGCTCATCTTCAGTTTTATTCTCTACTTCTTAGGGTACGAACCATTATTTATTTTTCAAAATTGAATGTTTTACTTGACTAATCTGATGCTGTCTCTCCATTACCTATATGGAGAACAGTAAGTGGAGGAAGGTAAGAGCAGAAGATGAACTGAGCCTACCAACTGACTTGTACAGAGTACAAATGAAGCAGAGGGGACAATCTAGAGCAGAGGAGATTGTGTGCTTCAGAATTTGTTTATTAAAAAGTGACTGTACAACAACAGAGTGAATTCTTTCATTGTTGGAGGCACCATTAGGCAGACTGCAGTGATTTGTACTCTTCCTGCAAATGACCTGTAAAGCAGTAGTACAGGGAATATTTTGTCAAATCTTTCTTCAAAGTCTAATAGACAAAATAAGACACAAAGATGTCCACTCTTCAATTACAATTTGCTGTTTTCATTAAAGCAAAGACCTTTATAGTGCTTAATTGTACTGCACAATGCCATTAGTGTCCTACTGAGCAATATAGTTACTGGTACTGCAAGATTCCATGTGTGCATGCTAACAGTAGTTTGCCCACTACTAGCAAAAGGCAAATAGCAGCCTTTCCTTCTTCTACAGCTGCTTGAAGGAGTATTGAACATGGTTAGACAGGCAAGCAAATTAGTGACCAAACGAATTGTCCTCAATCCTACTCTCTTTGAAGTTAAAACTTCTGGCCTTAATAAGAACAGAGTCAATCTCCACCCAGCTCCCCTGGGAGGAAGGTCAGTTAGCCAACGAGAGGTAATGACATACCCAGGTGGTATGAGGTCATTCCTCCAACTGCAATATTCCCCATCCACCCCCCCCCCCAGTCAGCAGAGAGTTGGTGCTGATAAATGACTTCAAAGAGCACTTCTTACATAGCAGCTGGTAGGGAAAGACAGCAAGCTCAAGAATAAGCAGTTTGAGGAGGTGAGGCATGGCAGCATAAGGACCTTCTATTTCTGTCTCAGCGTGCTCCTATCTTTTTGGTTGCGATATTGATAACTGGTTTCATTTTGTTCAGAGATTCCTCTATGTCATCTTATGAGCAGCTATTCACAGGGAACAAAGCCTCCAAATTATTGCTTTGCATCATTCAAGCTGTCTGCAATTTAAATTTTAGATGCTTGCAACTTGGGAAGCTTCCATACTATTTCAAAGACAAATTTAAAATGTAGTGGAAAAAACCCAGGCTCTACATCAGGAAAAGAGTAATACTAAATGTGCAAAGGAGGGAAGGTATTTCAGCTGCTGATTTTATTACACATGAGGTATATTGAAAATAGGATGAAGTCAGCTTTTTTGTGATTCTGAGTGGTCTTTAAGATGTTTGTCATTACCCTGGTAAAAGGTGAAGCCTAATATGAGACCAGAGAGGATGGTAACTGCAAGCAGTCCAGGGAAACTGGGAGTGTGGTACAGACAATAAGAGAGAGGATCTGCTAACTTCCTGTGACTCAGATCACGAAAGATTTAAAGAAATAGAATCATAGAATCAACTGGCTTGGAAAGGACCTCTGAGATCATCAACCCTTGATCCACTACCACCGTGGTCACTAGACTTTGGCGCCAAGTGCCACATCCAGTCTCATCTTAAAAACCTTCAGGGATGGCAAATCCACCACTTCCCTGGGCAGCCCATTTCAATGCCGATTACCCCCTCTGTAAAGATTTCTTTGTAAATAGAATTACCTATAGCATGATTCCTATCTTATAATTTAACACTGTTTTCTCCCCCCCCGCCTTGTGTTTCTCTGCATGTCTGCAAGGTTAAAAATAGAATAAATGGCTTGGGTAGGATTACAGCTGTACCTTCAATTTAATCTAATCAAGAGATGAAGCCTAAGCAGTGAAAGCTTCTGCAAAAGCCAGCAACCCGCGTGCATAGTGGCACTGCAGCTCCAGGCTGCAACTGCAGTTGGCTGTTGAGTATTGTACCTGGCAACGCTGCTGAGGCTGGAGCTTTGTTGATGCTTTGAGAGTAAGAAATTTGGAATGTGGAGTTCTAGCAACAGAGTTGATTTGATTTTCTGTTTTATGGTATGAGTGCAGCAGGATATTAAAGGATAGTTTTGTTAAAGCCTTTGATCATTTAACCAGAACTTCAACTGAACAGCGATTAGTGCTTTATAAATACAGGAAAAAATGAAGGTATAAACTGGAGAGTGGAATGCTACTGAGAATAAGCAGGCCTGTATAAAGACAGTATTATTTATTATAGCGATGTTATCTCTGTATCAACAACAATAACCTAAGAATTTCTGAAGGTGTTTTAATAATTTGAACTGATCTTAAGTGTTATGGTATTGGTAATTGTTCTACGCTACTAAAATTTGAAAAACTTTACTAAATATGTCATTAACTCACAGCACCATAAGAAAATCAGTACAGCTGTACTAGAGCAGATTAAAGCTCCACCTAGATTAGTACTGTCTCCCTGCTAAATGACACTGGGAATTGCTAAAGGGAAGGGCACAGAAAGTGTAGCATAAGAGATGCCTTTTCCCTGTCTGCATGGTCTGAGCTGCTGGCAGTTATGCCTTCAGGAGTTCAGTAATTGTGATGCACCTTCATCCCATGCAGCATTATGTTGTGCATGCAACATATCTAATATCAGTGGTTTTTCCAATCCAGCTGTGCATTAAAATAAGTAAAGAACCCTCTCACTTGTGGCTTAGATACTGCCCTCAGGGAGCTGTGCTTACGTTTATGTGGAACCTGGCTCTTCTAAGCTAACGAGTTCAGTGTCTAAGCGTATTAAAAAGTCAAAATTAAAAATATCTGCTGTCGCCAAGTCTGAGAGAATGAACCAAACCTTTGTTTCATGGAATGTATGGAAAGTATGGAACTGCTAGCGCTCAGTTCAACTTCTCTTTAATCTCTTAAGTACACTTGAGACATTTGACTTTCACAAATGATTGTGATGAAAGATTGTTCATGAGATTTTGTTTCAGAGGCTGCATGTATGAGTTTGAATTTCTAGTTTTTGAAAACGAAGTCTTTTCATAGGCCCTGCATCTCCTGGAAGCTATTTCCATTTATTCTGGTTGCTGACAGGGATTACTAAACCTCAGAGACTCACTACATAATGTATTATAACATATTATGCTAATAAAGGCTATTGTCATGTGTATAGTAACCTGCAGGGTGCTAGACTGATTTGCTTTTTGGCACTTTCAGAAAGCTGCTTGTCTCTTGGGACATTCATTGATAAATATACGGCACAAAAGAGTATTCCAGTGAGCTGTGAACAACAGTACAGATTTTCTAGACTTCAGTGCAGTCTTCAGTTAGAAGAAAAATTGACAGATGACAGAGACATGGTATGGCTCTATGTTCCTCAGAAAGACGCTATGGAATCCAAAATGGATGTTTTTAAAAATAGATTGGACATGGACTCATGGAATGAGTCTCAAATAATAGATTTTACCATGGAAAATGGTTAACCTGTTAAAGGTTATTCTGTGATGAAATGCAGTTCATATTTTTTCTCCTGCAAAAAAACTCTCAGCAGATATTTCATATAATTTGTTGAACTTATTATATTTGCAGAAGTACAGCTGTCTAAGAGAAGTGTTTTTCTTCACAACATTGTTCTGTGTATATACTGAGGATTGTATTTTAACTAATTTATTTCATGCCTTGTTCATGACCTCTCTATTCTCATTTATGCTACACTGTGCCCAGTGAGGGCTAAGAAAATCTACTTTACATCTTATGACACATCTCAGGTTT